ACAAAATGTTTACTACTTGGTCATTAAATGTCACATACTCTCCTATAATCTCTACTGGATCACATAAAAAAGTCTAAATAGCAAAGAGCAAAAACACTGCACTTTCAGGATGCAGAGGTAAATTAATCGGCTTCTATGATTTCATTATTAAGAAGAAATGATAAAATGTTAAACCAACTGTCCAATTAAGAAAGTTTCCAACAGGAAAACAGAAGAAACAAAATAATGAAAAAATAATGCACAATCTAGTAATTGCCACATAGACAGACAAAATTGATAAATCCAAAGATAGTTGGAAGGAGAGGGGAAAACCAATATTAAAATCATAAAATCAGTTATAAAATCTGAAAATTTCGATACAAAAAAGAAAAACTCAAAAGAATAAAATTAGAAATGAAAGAAGGGATATATCTGAATACTTTTTCATCCTAATGAGGTAAATTGGTTTCTTAGAAAATAAAAATTGCCAAAACAGACTTAAGAAGTATTAATATTACAAGCAAGAATAAACCAAACGAGTGATATTAAAGAACTATCTCCAAAAATAGTTCTAGGGCCAATGAATATTACTGAAAAATGCAGGCAGACTTTCACAGACTTAGTATTTTCCATGCTATACAAACTGTTCAAGGACTGAAATGCTATCCAACCTATTTGAGACAGCTAGCAATAATCCTGATATAAGATAAACATAGCAGAGTTTATAAAGATAAATCTCAGATTATTGAAGGTGCATTATTAATCAGATGTGTCTATTCTGTTGGAAAAGAATAAATCTATCTGGGTGAGTTAATAGAAATATGAATGCATAAAGTTGACGGATTCACAGGAATATGTGTAAGCCATCAAAGCCTTGTGATGAAAAGTCAAAATTAGGAGACAGAATACATCAAATATTTACATTCTTGCAGCCATAAAAAATGAAGTGAGCCCTGTAGTCCCAGCTACTCGGGAGGCTGAGGCAGGAGAATGGCGTAAACCTGGGAGGCGGAGCTTGTAGTGAGCCGAGTTTGTGCCACTGCACTCCAGCCTGGGCGACAGAGCAAAGGCTCCGTCTCAAAAAAAAAAAAAAAAAAAAAAAAATGAAGTGAGCAAAAAGCACAGAAAGACTTCACTAAATGAGACTGAAAGAGGTTGAAAGGGCAATAACAAATGCTGGAGAAGATGTGGAGGAAAGGGAACCCTTGTACACTGTTGGTGGAAATGTAAATTAGTACAACCACTATGGAGAACAGTTCGGAGGTTTCTCAAAAAATTAAAAATAGAGCTACCACGATAGTCAGCAATCCCACTCCTAGGTATATACTCAAAAGAAAGGAAAATATTGAAGAGCTATCTGCACTCCCATGTTTATTGCAACACTATTCACAATAGCCAAGATTTGGAAGCAACCTAAATGTTCATCAACAGATGAATGGATAAAGAAAATGTGGTGCATATGCACCACAGAGTGCTATTCTGCCCTAAAAAAGAATAAGAACTTGCATTTTGCAACAACATGGATGAAAATGAAGGTCATTATGTTAAGTAAAGTAAGCCAAGTACAGAAAGACCAACTTTGCGTGTTCTCACTTATTTGTGGGAGCTGCAAATTAAAGCAACTGAGGCCAGGCACATTGGCTCACGCCTGTAATCCCAGTACTTTGAAAGGCCAAGGCAAGCTGATCAGTTGAGCTCAGCATCTTGAGACCCGTCTGGGCAACATAATGAGAGCCTGTCTCTACTTTAAAATAATAAATAAACAAAACAATTGAACTCATGGAGATAGAAAGTAGAAGGATGGCTACCAGAGGCTGTGAAAAGTAGTGTGGGCAGGTGGGGCAGGGGAGTGGGGATGGTTAATGCATACAAAAAATAGTAGGAAAGAATGAATGAGACCTAGTTTTTGCTAGCACAACAGGGTGACTACAGTGAAAAAAATTTAATTGTACATTTTAAAATAACTAAAAGAGTATAATTGCATTGTTTGTAATACAAAGGATGAATGTTTCAGTGGATGTATGCTCTATTTACTCTGATGTGATCATTACACATTGCATGCCTGTGTCAAAATAATCTCATGTAACCCATAAATATATACTCACAATTTTTTTTTTTTAATTTTTAAGAGGTTGAAACACATTTATATCACTCCTGGGGCCTTTCAGTAGCCTCCTACCCCAAGTTGATGATAATATCATTAGAAAAACAGCATATGCAAATGAAGTCAGTAGTAAATGAGAGATGGAGTCACATGGGTTCAAACTGTCTTGAATCACTCTCTGAGGCTATCACCATGGTGGTACCCACTCATAAAGGCTTTTAGTAGAGCAGAGTTCATAGACAACTATCACACTAGTTAAGGCTGGTGGATCACATGGAATGCATAAACAAAACTGGTGATGAAATTTTACACCAATGATGAAACTGTGCATAGGGTTCAGAGGGTGTGGGGAAACGGAAATAGGTGAGGGAAAGATTTACAGAAGAAGTGATGTTTGCACAGACTCTGTTTCTGCTCATCTGCTTCAATTTCACCTCAGGGTTGTTCTGTCTTTAACCTTCACCCTAGTTTTGTTTGGTTGGTTATCAGTATTTTGTTTAATTGATTGTTTAAAGAAGGCGTTATAATTTGCTTACTATTTCCCAATGCCAATATATTTCTGTAGAGTTTTATTGCTTATTTTTTGAGCACTGCACTCACATGAAAAAGAAAAATGTATCTTCTTAGGACTGATTCTTACAAATTTGAGATAGCTAGTTTATAACTTACATGGTCAAGCCCTGCTAGAAATATCTTACAAAGTGTTTGACACAGAAGCTTGGCCAAGCTGTGAAAAATCTCTCAAAGTAGTTAACACACTTCTTGAGTATTACTGGAGACTTGATAAACTAAGAAGAGAATTTTGACCAGGTATCACAAGAAATTTGGATTGGAGACTTCTAAGAATAAGCGTGTATTATTATGGCTATTTTCTCAATCTCGTGTTGATTAATAGTTCTTCCCTTTGCAGACAGAGTAGAAAATATCACCAAGTAAAGATTTTAGCCCTGCTTTAGTTTAATTCATCTCATATTCCTTTATTTCTATCCTTCCTCCCACATCTTTCCTTCTCAGGTCTGGTTCCCTATATGCAGAGCTTCAACCCCCAGAGGATATTTAACCTTGTCTCCCCCTCCACACTGCTGCATTCGCCACCACGTCTCTTTCCCTCTCTTTCCATCCACCTGAAGAGATGAGAGCATATACAGAAAGTAGCTCCCAGCTGTAGCTCAATCATTAAACACCAAGAGAAAGGAAAATGAACTCTGCCAGACTTAGATCAATTAGAAGATTCCTTTGTAACCTAAATACATTTTTAAAAGTTTATAATCAAATTATGCAGTCATTTGCAGTTTGAGGTAAAACAACACCTTCATTTTCATGGCCCTCTCCCCTATTCAAGATGACATCAGCCGCATATTAGTTTTACCTTGTATGCATTTCTCAATAGTAAAACTATTAGTCAGTAGCATCTGCATGTACATGGATACAGTGGGTGTTTTTTAGTAATTATAAGGTAATTACTTCCTATCCTTAAATAATTGTCATTTCCACAACAAAATAGGATAACCAACAATACAGTGTACATAAAACAACTGCCATCTCTCTAAGACACAATAGCCTGTTAATCAAGGAAAGCTAAATTTTCTAAATCTACTACAGTAAGGGAGGCCACACTTTGACAGAAGCTTGGCAGTCTCAGAAGGAGAAGGTTTGGGGTGCTATTTATAGGACTTAGGGATTCCGAGCAAAAATGGTTTAAAACAGGTCTTTGGAGGCAGGGAACTGTTTGGGGGATTGGGTAAAGTGTTTGACCTAATTGTTTAGAGTCGATGCTAGAGTGACCAACTTTTACTGATTTCCTAGGGCTTTCCCAATTTTAGCACTAAAAATCCTCCAACTGGAGAATCTTTACAGTCCTGGGCAAACTGGGACCACCGGTCACCCTAATTAGCGAACACACCGTCGCAAGACTGCGGGATAATTTGAGCAGTAGTACCAGATGCAACCGACAGAACATTATAGCCCATATTTCCAAGGCTGGACAAAAGGTTTATTGAAGCATTCACATTTACAGCCTCTATTTGACAAAATACTGTATGCCTATGTGCGTTCAACTCACATCATAATAATAAAATTGAACTTTAAAAATATTTTTATTGCAGTAAGGTATATAAAACACGAATTCGACATTTTAACTATTTCTATGCATACAAGTGAGTGGTATTAATTGCATTCACAATGTTGAGCGACCATCATCAATTTTTTTAAAGGACGTTTATATCCACTCATCTATCAATGTAGTAGGCACTGTCCCAGGCGCTAGGGATTCCATGTAGAGCAAAAAACATCACGGTCCATGCCTTCACATGGCCTTCATGGACCACCACGGGTGCTCTTTTTCCCCCGAGTCTTTATGTACTTGGGAAAAGTGGCAGCGTTGAAAGGTGTAATGGGTACACGGCAGAGGTCAGAGAGGTTCCCACCCAGCCCGGCGTCTGGAAGCACTTGGGGTAGTGGCCGCTCCTGGACCCCCTATTCCGGGGTCGGCGATGGGCAGGCAGGCCCTGGGCCCGGCGGATGAGGCGGGACTGGAGGGGGCGGGGCCTGTGCGGGAGGCGGGAGGTGGGCGTGCCCGGGGGGGGCTGTACCGGGCGCTGGGCGGAAGAGCCTTTGATGGGGACGGCCTGGAAAGTGCCTGGGCCTGCGCTGGACACCGCCCGGGCCCCGGCTTCTGTTTCCGCCGGCTCCATGGCGGTGGCTGCCTGACTGGAAGCCCGAGTGGGATGCGGCTGACGCGGAAGCGGCTCTGCTCATTTCTCATCGCCCTGTACTGCCTGTTCTCCCTCTACGCTGCCTACCACGTCTTCTTCGGGCGCCGCCGCCAGGCGCCGGCGGGGTCCCCGCGGGGCCTCAGGAAGGGGGCGGTGGCCCCCGCGCGGGAGAGACGCGGCCGAGGTAGGACTGGGGCTGCAGCTTCCCTCCGGCTCTGCGCGCCTGGCTGGGGGCTGCTGAGCTGCAGGGGCCGGGTTCCCGCACCCCGCTCTCAAGTCCGGGGTTACCCGCGGGGCCTGAGACGCGCTTTGCCTCCTACAGCCCCTCGAGCTAGCCCTTGGCTCGGGATTGGAGACTGGCCCTTAATTCTTACCCAGATCTCACACGGTGTCCCCGCTCCCCATCCCAGGGGGTGACAGGCGCGAACGCCTTTGAAACACGGGTTAAAATGCAAGACGTCGTCTCAAATGCCAGAGATTTGCGGGAGTGCTCCTGGAAGGCCTCAGAATCTCCGCAAGGTTTAAGACATCCGTTTCCATGTTGAAACAAAGCCCTCTAATCCTGCAGTGACCGTAAGGCAGGCTTTACCTCCAAATTCTGGTCCCCTGTCCAGTGTTTTAATTTATTTTAAGATCAGACTCAGCTTTCTCTCTCCCTTTATTCAGAATTTTGCACTATAGTATCTAAGACTGGTGAACACTACACTCTGATTCAGATTTTTGTGCATAGGTTACCTGTATACAATAGCTAAAAAGAATTGCAGAAGTTAAACCTGTAACTTGATACATATTATCCTGTTATTTTTAAAGGTTTTGTTTTGGGGAAGAGAATTTTCCTGTTTCAAGTTAGCATTTTATTTCTAAGACCTTTCAGAGTAAAAAAAGTTCAGTTAAAAAAAATTGCCGATAGTTTCTTTTTTGTTATCATTGTGTATAACCAATTTAAATTCAGTTGCTCTATCTCTCAAAAATTAAAGTTAGGATGAAATTAGAACTAACACTTAATTTAAATGATTTGAATTTACCTACAGCTGCAATAACACCTCACTGGTAAACACTGTTACTCTTTTTAAAACAGAACAGTTCACTTTGGAAAGTGAAGAATGGAATCCTTGGGAAGGAGATGAAAAAAATGAGCAACAATACAGATTTAAAACTAGCCTTCAAGTATTAAATAAATCCACGAAAGGAAAAACAGACCTCAGTGTACAAATCTGGGGCAAAGCTGCCATTGGTAAGTTAATATGTAGAAGGAAGACATGTAAAAAGCATTGTAAAATGTACTTTGTTGATATGAAATTCATTTTAATATAATTTATTTCATAACTTGTTAATGAAGGCATCATGATATATTTTTTCACTTTTTGTCAGTAATTCCTTTCTCCTTCCAATTAGACAACATGTGTTTGTAAATGTACACACATACATGTTCCACTGTTGGTCTTTAGCAGAGCACAGCTTCATTTATCGATACATTGAGTAGGCTGTACAGTGTCATTAGATTGCAAAACATATGTCAACTGAATTTTCATGAATCTGTGTATTTTTTGGACACTTGATACACAAATATAAGATGTGGCCCCTGACCTTGAGGGCCAAACACATTTGGGAAACACTGAAGAGTACAAAGTTAAGGTTCTTCATTGCAGGCCTTTCTCAAGAGCCTTTAATATGACAGTGTTCATTGTATCAGCAAAGGAATATATTATAGTATGTAGTTGATTAAACTTGATTGCACACAGAGGCGTTTTTGCTGTGAATATCATGAGAGTGTAGTGTTCTAAGATATATATTATGCTCAATTAGAGAATGGGGCTGTGAGGCTTCAAACAGTCACAAAGAATTTAGTGACTTAGCACTTTATTTGGCCTTTGAACATGAGCTGGGTTTATGTACAATAAAGGATATGGATAGAAAGTACCAGATGAAAGGAAAATGTACAGAGGATAGTCCTCTGCTCACGGTATTTCATAAATTCGTTCATACTTACATACAAGTATACATCCTGGAAGATTACTACCAGTCTCTAAATTTCAAGTACCTGAAACCAGGTCTTCAGTCATCAAGTTCTGACCATTATTTTTTAAATAAAGTCCCTAATACTGATTTCTTCTTTTAAATCCCAGATTTTCATTTCCAGACTTCTCTCTTTTCAATCTGATAAGCGCAAAATGGCCAAGTGAATTTCATCAAATGCTACCTTTTTTTTTTGTTATCACCTCTGTTGGCAGGAAAAATGCTACTTTCATCAGCCTATTCTCTAGGCACAGTTATGAAATACCGTTATAGACATTCCCATTCAAAAAGGGAAAAAAAATTGAAGTGAAAAAGTGTCACTGGTCCAAGCAATTTTGAAATCTAAATTTCATCTGAATGGTCAGCTCCATTTGATTATATTGCAGGCCTAGGAATAATCTATGACTTGTACAGCTTTGCCCTCTGGCATTTCAGCCATACTCTTGAAGTCATCTTTTCCTTTTTCATAAAAAGTAACACAAGTTTGCAGCTTAGTAACTTTATCAGCCTGTTGACAGCTGGTAAAATTTTCAGAGCCCATCAGCCCTCTTTCATTGTGACCTCTTTCTGTCTTTTTTAGTCCAAGCTGGCAGTGTTTCTGCTCATATAACATTCTGAAGAACCTTGTGGGCCTCCTGTGTATGTCACAGGATTCACTCCATTAGATGGGAAGCTCCTTTGCAGATCTTTTCTGAGTAATCCCATCTCCATTTCTGGCTTCTGCTGAGATAGCTGAGGAGACCTGTAAGTCACATGTGTAATCTCTTCAAAGAGCCCTTTGTGTGAATGAATATTCAGATCTTCTGTTCCTTCTGAGACACTAGCAAAAGGTTATGCAGCCACATCCTTGGTCTTCTTTCTGGAACACCCTTTGCAGACAGTAAATCTAATTTTTCACCTCTTTTGCAATCTTAATGGTCTGAGAATTTCCCAAATCATCAAATTCTGGTTCCCTTTTGCTTAACAGTTTTTCCTTCTATCTCTTTCTTCTTATATTTCATTAATCACCAAGAAGAAACCAGTCCACACCTTTCACTTTGCTTGGAATCCTCCAGCTAATTATTGAAGTTTATCACAAATTCTGCTTTCCACGTAACTGCAGGATACAATCCAACTAAGCTTTTTACTGTTATGTAACAAGGATCCTCATCCTTCCAGTTTCTAATAAGACATTCCTGATTTTATTCTGAGCTCTCACCAACAATTTATTTAATATACATATTCTAGGAGTGATGTCTCACGCCTGTAATCGAGCACTTTGGGAGGCTGAGGCAGGTAGATCACTTGAGGCCAGGAGTTCAAGACCAGCCTGGCCATCATGGTGAAACCCCATCTCTACCAAAAATACAAAAATTAGCCAGACATTGTGGCACATGCCTGTAATCCCAGCTACTCAGGAGGCTGAGGCAAGAGAATTGCTTGAACCCGGGAGGTGGAGGTTGCGGTGAGCCAAGATCATGCCACCTTATTCCAGCCTGGGCTACAGAGTGAGACTCTGTCTCTAAATAAATAAATAAATAAATAAATATTTTTTAAAAATTGCATATTCTTACCAACAATCTGCTTATGATGATTTAGGTATCCTCTAAGACAATACAGGTTTTCTCTACTCTGCCTCACTTTGAGTCTTCACTAGCTGAGTCATTAACATCCATATTTGTGTCTGCAGGTTATTCAAGGCAATCTAATCTAGGCTTTTTAAAATCATGTCCTCACAATTCTCTCAGCCTTTACCCATTACCCAATTTCAGAGCCACTTCCACATTTTTAAGTATTTGTTACAGTAGCACCCCATTTCCAGGTACCATAATCTTAACTGTATAATCCATAGCATCCTATTGCAACTGTAACAAATTACCACAAATTTAGTATCTTACTTTTCTGAAGGCAGAACTGTAAAATGTGTGGGGGCTGTGTTACTTTTGGAGGCTCTAGAGGAGAACCTGTTTCCTTACCGTTGAGAGTTTCTAGGGGTTACCCGCATTCCTTCATTTATGACCCCACATCACTCTGACCTCTGCTTCCATCTTTATATATCCCTTGCCTCACTCTGACCCTCCTGCCTCCCTTGTGTGAGGACTCTTGAGATTACATAGGGCCCACCTAGATAATCTATAATAATCTCTTCACCTCAGCATCCTTTTTTTTTTTGACACGGAGTCTTGCTCTGTATCCCAGGCTAGACTGCAGTGGCCGGATCTCAGCTCACTGCAAGCTCCGCCTCCCGGGTTTACGCCATTCTCCTGCCTCAGCCTCCAGAGTAGCTGGGACTACAGGCGCCCGCCACCTCGCCCGGCTAGTTTTTTGTATTTTTAGTAGAGACGGGGTTTCACCGTGTTAGCCAGGATGGTCTCGATCTCCTGACCTCGTGATCCGCCCGTCTCGGCCTCCCAAAGTGCTGGGATTACAGGCTTGAGCCACCGCGCCCGGCCCACCTCAGCATCCTTAACTCAATTGTATTTTTAAAGTGTCTTTTGCCATGTATTGTAACATATTCCTAGATTCTAGAGATTAGAATATGGACATCTTTGCTGGTGGGGCAGGGAGACATTATTCAACCCATCACATTTGGAAAGCTTTATCTAATTGTCCACGTTTTAAACATGGTGGCTTGGGTTTCCTTTAGTACCAGGGTACAATGAGAATGAAACAAAAACCTCTTTGAGTGTAACCAAAACAGGGTGCCCAGAAGTGGTGTATGGTCTCCATAGTGCCTCATTGAGTAACACTGCTCTCCTCTACTCTCAGAGCTTTCATTCAGGTGAAATCATGATAAAACATCAGGGGCTGCCATAAGGAGAAAAGATGCAGTGGCATTTGTCTGTGAAGGGGATCATGCATTCAGGGATATGTGTTCAAGTGAGGAGGAGGTAATGTCCCCTTGACATATTGAATGTATTAATATATGTAAATACATGAACTCCTCTGGCTCCGTTTGGCACAAAATGGCAACTCCCCCTAATTTGTTATAAAAATAGTTCTAACCACATAATATAGTTTACTTTGTAATATAATACATTTCATTTCAGAATAAGACAGGTGTAAAGATCTATATAAATTAGGGGTTTCTCAAATCTAGAGTAGGAGAGGTCTTTAATATTAACTCACATTTTGCCACATTTTACACACTGACAGCTTCTGAGCTCTGTCTCTCATTAGCTGCCATGTTGATTTGGAGCTGTTGCTTGGTAGCACTGCCTGCCAGCGGCCCTAAGGGGAGGCATTCTGGTTTTACAGTCAAATGAGTAAAAGAATAGAACATAAACTTGTCTCGTGCACCAGAGTAGATGAGACAGTAAATTGTTTTGATTTTGTTTTTGTTGTTAATTACCAGGCTTGTATCTCTGGGAGCACATTTTTGAAGGCTTACTTGATCCCAGCGATGTGACTGCTCAATGGAGAGAAGGAAAGTCAATCGTAGGAAGAACACAATACAGGTATTAGTTGTATTAGTTTGTGCAACATTAACCTTTGGTGTTTTGCTCTACAATATTTTTATGTGAATACTAAAAGAAAAATAATAGGAAAATATATTTGTAAAAATATTTCTATTTCAACTTGTAAAGAACAGAGAAGTAAATCTCATGAATATTTATTCATAATTAAGCTTACTTGGACCTTATGAAATTGTATATTACAGAATACTCCTTTTTTGGAATCATGTCTGTTTTATTTTTATCTAATTATATGGAAAAGTTCATACTCCACATCTTACAGCATTTGAATGGTGACAGCCATTTAAAACATTTTGTATCTTGGAGGAATAATATGTAAACCTAAAAGTATTTTCATTTTTCTCTTTCATATAATAGTCATGTTCACTTTTTTAAATATTTAGATATCAAAGCTCTTGCTGTCACTTTTTAGATTTTTGTTTATTAAAACAAATTTGATGAGTTTATCAGGATTTATTTTTTATTTTAGATTATTTATTTTTTATTTTAGATTTAATAAAACCAATGTATTGCTTAGACTTTTTTGGCCTTTTTATATAACTCTTATCTATGACTGCATATTTTCTGAGTGTTTTTAAGTATATTAGGATTGTTTTATTTAGGAAAACTATAATTTTATCATATGAAATGCTATTTTATTAGATTTTGCTTTCTTATTGAAATTAAAAATAAAAAATTATTTTTAAATGCCTATTTTATATAACAGTTGTATTATTAGGGGGAAAATGTGAACTAAAGATTCTGCTTTCTATTGGAATTTCATTCTTTTCTACAGAAATCAGGAAAGGAAAAGCTGCGTCAATTTTGTTCTAATTTTTACTGAAGCTTTAATTCTTTATTTACTTTATATACACTTGGAAAGCAATTTTATTGCATGTGTCTTTTCAAAGTTATCCTTAACAAGTAAACAGGTTTTTAAAATTATCGTTGGTAATGATTATTTTTCCTTTCATCTTCATGCTTCTGTTGATCTAATCCCATTCAAGAGCTTAAGTATAGACCTAAACTTACAATGGTTGGATTCGGGTGTTTGAAAGTAAATGTGTATTATATGTATAAATCTAATATTTTGGTATTTGAAAAGTAAATGTGTGTTATATTAGTCTAATCCATAATATATAACATTTTCAGAAAAGTTATTAAAAAATTCATGAAGACGTTGGCATCTTTAAGGTTAAAATTAAGGTTAAAATTATACATTGTTGCTATAATAATAGTGACAGATTTGAGCAAAGAACATTAACTCCCAAAAGAAAGCCTAATGTATCCTTTACTTCTGAAATATTTGAGGGAGATTTTATAGGCATACTTTAGAGCTGTTGGGTGTTCAGTTCCACAGCACTGCAGTAAAGCAAATATTGCATTAAATCAAGTCATATGAATTTTTTGATTATCCAGTGCATATGAAAGTTATGTTTACACTGTACTGTAGTCTGTTAAGTGTGTAATAGTATTATGCCTTAAAAAAAAAAAAGTACCTTAAGTGAAAAATACTTTATTGCTAAAAAATGCTAACAGTTATCTGAACCATCAGCAAGTCATCATCTTTTTGCTGGTGGAAGGTCTTGCCTCGATGTTGATGTATCAGGGTGTTGATGACTAATCAGGGTGGTGGTTGCTGAAGGTTGGGGTGGCCGTGGCAATTTCTTAAAATACGACAACAATGAAGTTTGCCACATCAGTTGACTCTTCATTCACGAAAGTTTTCTCTGTAGCACATGATGCTATTTGGTGGCATTTTTACCCATAGAACTTCTTTCAAAATTGGAGTCAATCCTAGGCTGCACACAGTGGCTCATGCCTGTAATCCCAGTACTTTGGGAGGCTGAGGTGGGTGGATCACTTGAGGTCAGGAGTTCGAGACCAGCCTGGCTATCATCATGAAACCCCATCTCTACTAAAAATACAAAAATTGGCTGGGAGTGGCAGCACACACCTGTAATCCCAGCTACTTGGGAGGCTGAGGCAAAAGTATCCTTGAACCTGGGAGTCAGAGGATGCAGTGAGGTAAGATCATGCCACTGCACTCCAACCCCAGGCGACAGAATGAGACTCTGTCTCAAAAAAAAAAAGTTAAAATTGGAGTCAGTCTTCTCAAACCCTGCTGCTGCTTTATCAAGTATATTTTTTGAATATTCTGAATCCTTTATTGTCACTTCACCAGTGTTCACAATATTGTATCCTCACCGGAAGTAGATTCCATCTCAGGAAACCACTTTCTTTGCTCATTCATAAAAAGCAGCTCCTCATCTGTTGAAGTTTTATCATGAGATTGCAACAATTCAGTCACACCTTCAGGTTCCACTTCTAATTCTACTTTTTTTGCTATTTCTACCACATCTGCAGTGACTTCCTCCCCTTAAATCTTGAACCCCTCAAAGTCATCCATGAGGGTTTAAATCAGCTTCTTCCAAACTCCTTATAATGTTGGTGTTTTGACCTCGTCCCATGAGTCATGAATGTTCATGAGTAATGAATCATTTCCAGAAGGTTTTCATTTACTTTGCCCGGATCCATCAGAGGAACCACTGTCTGTGGCAGCTATAGCCTTATGAAAGTATTTCTTTTGTTGTTGTTGTTGTTGTTTTGAGACAGAATCTCGCTCTGTCACCCAGGCTGGAGGGCAGTGTCGTAATAGCTTGCTGCAACCTCCGCCTCCCAGGTTCAAGTGATTCTCGTGCTTCAACATCCCAAGTAGCTGGGACTATGGGCACACGCCACCACACCCAGCTAATTTTTGTATTTTTAGTAGAGATGGGGTTTCACCATGTTGGCCAGGCTGGTCTTGGACTCCTGTCTCCAAGTGATCCACCCGCTTCAGCTTCCCAAAGTGCTAGGATTACAGGCGTGAGCCATTGTGTCTGGCCAAAAAGTATTTCTTGAATAAGACCTGAAAGTCAAAATTACTCCTTGATCCATGGGCTGCAGAATGGATATTTTGTTAGCAGGTATGAGGGCATGAATCTGTCTGTCTCCATCAGATCTCTTGGGTGACCAGCTGCATTGTCAATGAGCAGTAATATTTTGAAAGCAATCCTTTTTTCTGAGCAGTACTTCTCAATAGTAAGCTTAAAATATTCAGTAACCCATGGTGTGAACAGATGTTGCTGTCATCTAGGCTTTGTTCCATTTATAGGGCACAGGCAGAGTAGATTTAGGATAGTTCTTAAAGGTCCTAGGATTTTCAGAATGATAAATGAGCATTGGCTTCAACTTAAAGCCACCAGCTACATTTAGCCCCTAATAAGAGAATCAGCCTGTCTTTTGAAGCTTTGAAGCCAGGCATTGACTTCTCTCTAACTATGAAAGTCCTGGATGCCATCTTCTGCTGATATAAAGCTGTTTCATCTGCATTGAAATTCTGTTGTCTAGTGTAGCCACCTTCAGCAATGAAGATCTTAGCTAGATCTTCTGGATAACTTGCTGCAGCTTCTACATTAGCACTTGCTGCTTCACCTTGCATTTGTATGTTATGGAGATGGCTTCTTTCCATAAACCTCATGAATCAACCTCTGGTAATGTCAGTCTTTTCTCCTGCAGCTTCCTCACCTTTCTCAACCTTCATAGAATTGAAAAGAGTGGAGGCCTTGCTCTGGATTAGGCTTTGGCTTTAGGGAATGTTGTGGCTGGTTTGATCCTCTATCCAGACTATTAAACCTTTCTCCATATGAGCAGTAAGACTATATCACCGTCACATCATTCATGTTGTTCACTGGAGTAGCACTTTTCATTTCGTTCAATAACTTTTCCTTTGCATTCCCATCTTGGCTGTTTGGCACAAGAGGCCTAGCTTTCAGCTTGCCTCAGCTTTTGACATGCCTTCCTCACTAAGCTTAATTATTTCTAGCTTTTGGTTGCAAGCTTCTCCAACCCACTTTATTTTATTGTTGTTGTTGTTCTGTTTTGTTTTGTCTTAGGCTTTTAGCAGCCTGAAGCCATGGCTTTTAGTTTCTGTCTTTAGTAATAAGCAGAAAAGAGGGATAAGGAAGGGGCTTTACTGACCCAACCAGAAACAGAAACTAAGAATCCATGCCTATATTCTCTCCCTCGGACACTCCTGAAAGTGAGACACTTGCGACTCTTCCTCTCACCTAGAGGGTATTATAGGGTTATTAATTATAGGGAACACTTAGAGGGTATTATAGGGTTATTAATTGGCCTAATAGTGTTGTGTCTCAGGGAATAGGGAGGCCCAAGGAGATGGAGAGAAACGGGGGAATACTGGTTGGTGGAGCAGTTAGACCACACACACAGCATTTATCTATTAAGTTTGCCATCAGATCTTGTGAGACTTACTCACTATCATGAGAACAGTACAAGAAAGACCTGCCCCCATGATTCAATTACTTCCCACCGGGCACCTCCCACAACATGTGGGAATTGTGGGCACTACAATTCCAGATGAGATTTGGGTGGGGACAGAGCCAAACCATATCTCATAGTGAGCACATGCTGTTGGAAAATGGTACCAATAGAATTGCTTGACTGGGGATCACCACAAACTTGCAATTTGTAAAAAACTTTATTTGCAAAGTACAATAAAGTGAAGCACAATAAAATAAGGTGTGCTGGTATTACGGCCAAAGAGTAATACCGTTTCCTCTTAGGATTTAAGAGAACTATATTCAAGAAAGGCCCCCATTGTATGAGGTTTTTTTAAACAGCTTATTAAAGTGTTAGGTTCGTGAAAAATAGCGTACATAATTTATCCAAAATTAATAAGCTTTTATGCATTCTTGAGTTGAATCGGCTACATGGGTACTAACTTAAGTGTTTCCACACATTCACCATCCTTATTTGACCAAAAGTGAATCAGAAGTAATGGCTCACCTTGAAGATATTGGAAGAATTTCTAAGTACTGTTAAGATACTTGTTGAAAATAAGTGTAAATATATTTTGTTTAAATAAACAAATGAGCTTATATCATTTAATTGTAGCCTCGAGACAATTCTAAGACAGAAGTAGAAAGGATATCATCAGTGTTACAGGGCTCATCAGGCTCAGGAATGCTGATTTTCATCAACACATAGGCCCAAATAATGAATTCCAGCATACCAAATAAATGATATAGAATGGAGAGAGAGCTGTCAGTCAGGCCATGTGTTTGTATTGGTTTGACTGACACATTCTTTCAATATAGGCAGGCTACAAGTGATAACCAATTATTTGAGGGTTGATTACATATGGAACCATAATATGGGATTTAATTATATGTAGTGCTTTTAACTCTATTTCAGAAAGAAAGACAGAAATATGACTCCTTGTTCACCGCTGAATCAGTAACATCATCCATAGGCTGTGCTCAGAATATTAATACATGAATACATACAGGGCAAACTGAACTTCTGGATGAGCCTGATGAAGCCCCGTCGCTTCTGGGCAGCGTCTCATGACTGGCAGCGTCGCACAGACTCTGGAGCCAGACTATCTTAGTTCAAATTCTTTTATTTTTTGGAGACAGAGTCTTGCTCTGTCACCCAGGCTGGAGTGCAGTGGCACAGTCTCGGCTCACTACAACCTCCACCTCCCGGGTTCAAGCGATTCTCCTGCCTCAGCCTCCCAAATAGCTGGGATTACAGGCACCCATCACCACTCCCGGCTAACTGACCTCATGATCCGCCTGACTCGGCCTCCAAAACTGCTGGGATTACAGGTGTGAGCCACCGCGCCTGGCCTAGTTCAAATTCTTCTTCTGTCACTTTGCTGTCTGACCTTGGGCAAGTTTCTTAACCTCTCTGTTTCAGTTTCCTCACGTTTAAGGCAAATAATAGTTCATATTTCACAGGATTATTCCAAAGATTAAATGTGTTAATAAATTACAGGGCTTACAATAGTATCTAATACGTAATAATCACTATAGAAATCTTGTTGTTATTTTCTTATTTTTAGTGTTACTTAACTAAGTACTGCAACATCTTCCTACAAGCAGTTCTCCTTTTTCTGTTTCCAGTACTGTCTCTTATCCCTCCATCATGTACCTGCCCACAAATGCCTTACTGATACATTCTTTATATTAATATGTTCAATTCAGTTTTAAGCTAGCCTGAGACTCATTCTGTCTCTTGAAGGAACTTGCCTACCACTACTCATAACCATCATATGTTGATTTATAGTTTAATCTCATAGGACAATTTTATTTTTAATTTCTTAGGAGGAACCTTACTTCTACTCAGTGTGACTTTTGCTCATCCCCCAAAGACTGCCTTCAGAATCCTATCATTTCTCTGTATAGTCATTACCACAGGCTATATAAATGTCTACCCATTTGGTAAAACAAAAGGTAGATCATAAATTATTAATTGTTATCAAGATTCGATTATAACATCTTCAATGAGCATCTGCTGCTTATGAAAGAGTTGAACTTATTTCCAAAGATCATGATAGAATAAAACATGTCGGATGGCATTTTTAGAATTTCCAGACATTACTTTCGTAAGAAGTTAGCTCACTATGAATGAAAGCATTTATAGATAACATTAATGGTTAGTGACGTGACATTTATTTAGGTCAAATGCTGGAGCATAAATCAGTGCAGATCCCAAATAAAATTTTCATTGGTAAACAAAGACAAAACAGTTTTTCAAAATGCCACATTTATTCTTTTAATGTTAAAATATCCTTTAAAAAATAGTAGTGATAGTGAAGGCCAATGCTTATAAAGAGCTTACTATGCGCCAAACAGTTCTATACACTTAATAACTTAATTTGTTTAATCCTTACCACAACCCAATGAAGTATCATTGTTTACATTTTGCAAGTTAGGAAACTAAGACACAAAGAGATTAAATAACTTCCCCACAGCCACAAACTAATAATTATAACAAATAACATCTAACATTTACCTAGCTCTTACTATGTTTGAGACTCTATTATTCAGTGCTCACGAGGATCCATGAGGCAGGTACTGTGCTTACCTCGTTTGAGCACTGAAAGGCTAAGTACCTGGCCTGAGGTTACATACTTCTAATTAGTGGGTAAAGCCAAAAGTCAAGCACTACATTCTTGACTAAGGGACTATTCGGAGTAAGAGGCAGTCGGGATTTTTATTTTTAATGTCTTAAAAAGTTGATAATTCTGTATTGGTCCCTAAAGATCATTTTCAGTTTTTTGTAGTAAGTGGAATTTTGAAATCTAAGAACTGATGAACTAAGCAGTGTCCTAGAGTAGCAACTCCGAGTTCACACTTTATCCAGTGTAATATTTAGAAACCTTGTTTTAAAAATGCACTATTTTGATATATTTTTGGTTTGACAGAAGACAGCTGCTGAAACTCTTTCTCTCTCATCACTCCTGTTCAGCCAAAGTCTCACCCAAACCCATGTAGTCAAGATAAAGGAATGAGAAATTGCCAGCTCTTGGCTCTTACGCCTCTTCAAAGATTAATGAGCATTCAGGCTGCTTAGAAGGCATCCAGCTGTGGGTGAGATTGGCTTCCAGCCTGGCAGAGTAAACACTGAGGCCCACAGTCATGTCCCAGCTCTGCTGCTGGCGTGCTATGAGATTTCCCAGCCTTCTGGGGTCTTATTGTCTTATTTTAAAATGGAAAGAATCCTGAGTCAACAGCAACATTGAAGTAGTTGCTGTGTTCCAGGGGCTTTTACAGATATTAGCTCAGTGAATTTTAATCCTCACAACCACCCTGTGCAGCTGGTGGTATTACTCCCATTTTGCAAATGAAAACCTTGATGTTCTGAGAGAGTAAATGACTAGTAAACAGTAAAGATGGGATTGAGCCATGGTCCTTCCTTCAACATGATAGATTAATCCACATCATCTAGAAGTCACCTCCAATATTAAATATACTCGATTCTATAATTTCATGTTGAATTATTTTCTTTTTAAGAGATGGGGGTCTTGCTATGTTGCCCAGACTGGAGTGCAGTGACTGTTCACAGACAAGATCATAGCATACTACAGCCTCGAATTCCTGGGCTCAAGAGATCCTCCTGCCCCAGCCTTCTGAGTAGCTGGGAATATAGGTATGCAACACTGGCCTGGCATCATGCTGAATTCTTAAATGGAGTCATTTTTAGAAATTCTTATCAATGCTTTGGGTCTAGAATTTTTTTCCTAATCTGCTACAACCCAGTTATAACCTCATCTTGACTTTTAAATGTTTTTAGATTTTAATATCCTCTTTATAGTAATTTAATTATAATTTTGCCATAATCGCTGTTAACTGTGATTTAACTTTTGCACATCTAATGTGCCCAATTCTTGATTATCTTTCAATGTTTTTAATTTTTTTAACTGTGTGACTTTTCAGGGTTATGTTTACTACTTAGTGAATTTTAGGCACAGGGTGCACCGTGCATGTATATACTTGAAGGGTTCTCTGATGCTTTTGCTTACACAAACTAAATTAATAGCCCCCTTTTGCTATACTCATAATTATGAAAAAAAGAGTGAAGTGTTGCAATAAAAGCATACCTGATGCGTGAAATTACAATAGAAGCAAATAAAAAAGAAAACCTTTTCTCCCCTAAATCTAATATATAATATTTCTACAATAGACATTCATCTCTTGGTGATACATTTAAGAGATTTTATATACTTAGGAAACTAAAATTGCCTTTAGCTACAGGTAAGCTGCCTAAATAGTAGTAGAAATGGAGAGAAGTGGGGTGGAAAACAAATATTTACGACCAAAAGGAATGACAACTTAGCTGTCTTTGAAGAGATAAATTTGATTCACATGGGATAGTATTATATTATTTTCTCTTCAGAACACAATTTGTCATAGAATGGATCATAAATAGTCTGAATGAACACTAAATAATTTTTTTAGATTATCGCCCTTACCTAAAAAGAACTTTGGGATAGATAAAAATTAGAACATCAAGTAAACAACTTCTTACAATACTGAAGCCTACTTAATAAGAGAATTGCCATTGCTTGAATCAGTCATTGGCTGATGACTCATCTCTTAAATTAGGCCTCAACTACAGAGCAAAGAGATCCTTGCTTGGAGGGTTATGTATGATATAAGAGAAAGGAGGTCGCCATCAGTGAAAGGTCTTTCTTGTAGCCTTTAAGTGATAACTTTTCATGTTACTGGTACACTCCAGTAGGATTTTCTGGGGCCAGCTAAATCCACCTAGCATGAATTCCAAAATGCCACATCATAAGGTAGACTATTCACAGTTGGAGGTCTAGCCCTTACTCCCATTTCCTCTCTCTATTGATGTGTGGCTGCTGTAGGACACTCAGATCTCTATTATAGTCCACTCTGCTCTGTTCATTACCCAAGGAAATGGTTTCTCCACAGTTCTTGTTCTCAGTTTCTTACTAAGTTATCAGTCATATTGCTTAAAACTTTGACCACCAAAATATCATTGCTCCCTAGCTTGGGAAAATGTATTTATACTGGCATTAAATGTATAATTCTTCAAAATTAAAATATTAAATAAATTGAGAGATCAAAGTATCCATTAATTCATTTTCTACTAAATAATTGTTGAGCACCTCCTAATGTTTAATTTCCCCTTTCCTCCTTCCTAGTCTATGGAAATGGGCATTAGTATCTCCTTGCAAACTCAGACAAACTAGCTGAAGGGAGTAGTGGATTTATTTATAAAGTTATTAATTTATGTACTGCTTGGAGCAACATAAGTAATATCTTATTCCTAAAGGGCCTTTCAGCTGGGCATGGTGGCTCACTCCCATAATCCCAGCACTGTGGGAGGCCAAGACAGGAGGATCACTTGAGCCTAGGAGTTTGAGGTCAGCCTGGGCAACATAGTGAAACCCCATGTTTTTTCATTTTAAAAAAATTAAAAATAAAACAGAGGGCTTTTCCATAGTTTCACTGTAGTAGAATAAATAAATATCTGATTTGTCAGCAAAATATGTGAAAGCAAGATCTTATGATAACCTCACCTGGGAAGTAAAAAATACCTGTATTTTGGTATGTTAATGTATGGGTGATAGAACAAGCTGCAGAGGCGGCTAAAAATTTATTTTTAAAATATCAAAATATAGACTGGGCGTGGTAGCTCCCGCCTGTAATCCCAGCACTTTGGGAGGCCAAAGCAGGCAGATCATTTGAGCTCAGGAGTTTGAGACCAGCCTAGGCAACATGGTGAAACTGTATCTCTACAAGAAATACCAAAATTAGCGCCTGTTGTCCCAGCTATTTGTGGGGCTGAGGTGGGAGGATAGTTTGAGCCTGGGAGGTCAAGGCTGCAAGTGAGCTGTGATCACGTGACTGCTTTCCCGCCTGGGTGACAGACCCTATGCCAAAAAATAAAAAAGAAGAAGAAGGGCCAGGCATAGTGGCTCACACCTGGAATCCCAGCAGTTTGGGAGGCTGAGATAGGAGGATTGCTTGAGCCCAGGAGTTCAAGACCAGCCTAGGAAACATGGTGAAACCCTGTCTCTACAAAAAACACAAAAACTTTGTGTGTGGCAGCACAAACCTGTAGTCCCAGCTACTAGGGAGGATCACTTGAGCCTGCGAGGTCAAGGCTGCAGTGAGCCTAGATTGCACCACTGCACTCCAGCCTGGGTGACAGAGCGAGACCCTGTCTCAAAAAAAAAAAAAACTATTAAAATATAAAAGTTGGGCTATTTCTATGTTTATAACACCTTTCCTTAATGAGAGCTGAATTTACAGGCTGTGTCATTCAAAATGTATAATAATTGAACCCAATGTTAAATATAACGCCAGACTCATTTCTCCTCTATTTGAGCATTTATCTATATGAACTTTAATCTACAGCCATTTAAACTGCTAATATTTAAATATACCCAAATTATTTCCTATAAAATTATAGGAAATTGTTGTTTTTTAATGTTTTAATTTTTTTAACTTATTTTTGAAATAATTTTAGACTTAACAAAAATATTGCAAAAATGGTACCAAAAAAAATCCATTATACCTTTCATCCAGATTCCTCAAATGCTAACATCTTACACAATTACAGTATAATTATTTTTTTCAGGAAAACAACATTGAGACAAAACTATTATCTAATTTACACATACTCACATTCCCACTGCTGTCTCTTTTCTGGCCCAGTTTCCAATCCAGAGTCACATGGTGTGCTTGGTTTCATATCTCCTTGGCTTCAGCCAGTCTGTGATAGTTTCTCAGTCTTTGTTGACCTTGTGACTTACGAAGAGTAATGCCCAGTTATTTTGTAGAATGTCCTTTAGTTTGGGTTTGTCTGCTGTTTCCTCATAATTCAATTCAGGTTATGTATTTTGGTTCCAAATACCTCAGAAACAACATCGTGTCATCCTCGGTGTGTCATATTTGTTCCCATTACTGATTATGTTAACTTTGATCACTTGGCTAAGGTGCAGTCTGCCTGGTTTGTTCACTGTAAAGTTACTGTTTTTTCCATTGTCATTTTTACTAGGAGATTCTCTGGGACCATGTAAATAACCTGTTTTTCAATATGATTACAAGGTCCCAGAGTATCTCCCTTTCACCCGCAAATTTTAGCATCCACATAAATACCCAAAGACAAATAATGAAACAAATGCCATTCGTTGAATCAGTCATCAGCTGATTATTCATCTCTTAAATTAGGCCTCATCTTCAGGGCAAGGAGTAAAATGTTTAGTAGTCTTAAACGTTTTGCTTTCAAGAAACAAAATAAAAGGAGCACATAATTTGAATATATGAATTATTTTGGAACAAAGAATTAAATGGTTTGTTATATACAAATAAATACATAAAAAACAACCAAGAAAACCTCATAAAAATCCCCAGAATTACGGGATAAAAATTTAAAAATAAAGTGCAATCCCAGTAAGACTTTAGTGTTGACCATTCATTAGAAAAAAAGCCTACTGCAATAATCCTGTCAATAAAAAAAGAAGAAATTGATAAAATAAAAAAGCCAACTATTAGAAGAGTTTAGGGCCGGGTGCGGTGGCTGGCCAGGCACAGTGACTCATGCCTGTAATCCCAGCATTTTGGGGGGCTGAGACAGGCAGATCACCTGAGGTCTGGAGTTTGAGACCAGCCTGGCCGACATGGTGAAACCCTGTCTCTATTAAAAAGACAAAAATTATCCAAATGTGGTGGCACATACCTGTAGTCCTAGCTACTTGGGAGATGAGACAGGAGAATTGCTTAAACGCAGAAGGCAGGGGTTGCAGTGAGCAGAGACTGCACCATTGCACTCCAGCCTAGGTGACAAGAGTGAAATGCTGTCTCAAAAAAAAAAAAAAAAAGGAGTTTAGGAGGCAAAAAATTTTTTAAAAACTAAGTAACAGGCCAAATGTGGTGGCTCACGCCTGTAATCCCAGAACTTTGGGAGGCTGAGGTGGGCGGATCGCCTGAGGTCAGGAGTTCGAGACCAGCCTGGCCAACATGGTGAAACCCTGTCTCTATTAAAAACACAGACAAAAAAAAATTAACTGGGTGTAGTGGTGCGCGCTTGTAATCCCAGCTACTTGGGAGGCTAAGGCAGGCTAGAACCTGGGAGGCGGAGGTTGCAGTGAGCTGAGATCGCACCATTGCACTCCAGCCTGGGGAACAAGAGCAAAACTCTATCTCAAAAAAAAAAAAGAATGAATCAATATAGTCATCCCTTGGTGTATGTGGGGGATTGATTCGGGGGCAGTATGCCAAAATCTGCACATAATCAAGTTCTGCAGTATAGGAACAGTTGGTCCTACCTTTTAGTAAGGTTTTGCGTCCTGCTGATACTGTATTTTCCGTCAATTTGGTTGAAAAAAAAATCAGTGTATAAGTGGACCTGTGCATTCCAAACCTGTGTTAAGGGTCACCTGTATATTGGATTCCAAAAATAATATTGTTTCCACAATCAGCATTAAACTCAATATTTGAATGATTTCTCTGGACTTTCTAAGTATTGAAAAGTACTTAGTAGGAGGAAAGTTTTTAACTACATCAGTAGCAGAAGAGAGAATACTAAACATTATAAGTTCTAATTATTAAATATATGTCAAGACATCGAGAAAAGCAAATCACTGTTTTAAAATTCTGGATATGAGTTCTTAA